CCCCAAAACCCCAAAACCCCAAAACCCCTTAATCTGAGTGGATATTGAGAAATCATATAAGAAGGTTTTTTAAAGTCAATACAATAATAAATTTGTTGGAAAAGATGTCGGAGAAAAAAGATTTTAGGCCGGTGAAGGTCAAGATTAAGTCAAATAAACAAAAATGTAAGTAGTGGAACTGAGTCTGAACCATACTGGATCCGTTCTCTCCTCTTTTAATGCTTGATTGGAATGGATTGCCCTACCTATGAATCCAAAATATCCTAACTTTATTTTAGCAATGAAGTATATTTCAGGAGACTTGCTGTATTCAGGAGTAAACTTATTCGGAAAACTATCAGAAATATACATGGAGAAGATCAAGAATGGAGAGATGTTTGCTGGAACTTACCAAGATACTCCTACTCAGAAAGAGGCTGTAGCAGTCCCTGCTCCAGATTACTCAACTCCAGCTATGTCTAAGAAGAGTAGTACTGTTTCAAATACTTCAAATATGAGTTATGACAGCAATCGAGGAATGCTGAAGAGCTCTTCTGTCTTTCAAATGGATCAAGAGATCATGAGCTTGTTTAGAAAGTTACAAAAGAAGGATGCAATTACTAAAGTGAAGGCTCTCAAAGGTCTTCTCAAATACGTAGAAGATCAAGGAGAAGAAATTGAAGGTTTCGATTTTGCTGAACAAGGTAAATTATAAGAGTCTTAACTCATAGGAAGCCAATTATCACAAGTGCTCACTTTCTTCCTCTACCACTTTGAAAGAATTGTCACATATGAAGCTGAAAGAGGTGTCAGAAAGGCTGCCCACGATGTACTGGGTGCTTTCTTGAAGACATGTAAGAGGAACTTCAATCAGCATATCATCAACTTATTCCCTCTGTGGTATATTTCATTCTATGATACGGCTCAGGGAATCAGAACTACAGCAAAGGATAACTTTTTCTCTGTGTTTAAATCTAACGAAATCAGATCAAATCTCTTCAGAAAAACTATTGACAACATTGGGGCTTTGAAGTCAGAAAGTGAGACTACTATTTCTCAAAACGTAAGTATTTAACTTAATCTTCATAGTACTTGTACTTCATTCAAGAGAAGATTCTTCACTTTGAGATGCTGTTATCGGAAGATATGACTACCTTAGATAAGGCAGAAAGAGATTGTAAGTTTTAGCATCTAACACTCCTAATATATTCTAGCAATCTATGACAGAATAATCTCAGGATGTTTGGAGTCCCTCTCAGATTCATTCGATATTTTTGCGTCATTGAAAGAAGGACAGAAAAAGAAAAGCTGGACTCCTGAAAACACTACAGAATATATCGACCAAATTCTGGATGTGTTTAATTTGAATTCGGTAGATTCATATCCAACAATGTACAAATTTATGGGTGCCAAGTTTAGTCCTCCCATCAGAGCTGCTGCTCTTAGGCTGTTAGTTAAAGTATCTGACTACATGATCAAAGCAGATAAGGCCAACAAAGAGATATTTACAACCCATATTCATAAGTTATCAAGCTCATTGTTCTCAGGAGTTTCTGACGAATCATACAACGTACAGAAGATTCTATGGAAATCCGTCTTATATGAATTCTGCTCGATATTCAAGGATGAACTCTGGGAACAAGTGGATATAAAGAAGGCTCTGCTCCCACAGATCTACACCTGTCTTAAGAATGCTGGGTTTGGAGCACATACAGATTTGTATAAAAACTTCTCTCATTTCGTGTCTCTTTTGCCAATATTCAACTTTGAGACTCCCTTTGAGACACTTTACAAAACTCAACCATTAGGTGAGAAGAAATCAGCAGCAGAACCTATTGAGGAATCCAAGGAAGAATCAAAAGAAGAGGTTAAGGAAACCCCGAAAGAAGCAAAGAAGAAAAAGAAGGCAAAGAAAGCTAGAAACCAAGGTGGTGAAGGCGGTGTCAAGACAATCAAGAACTCCTTTTCAATTAATGAGAAAGCAAACGTCATGTTTGAGACCATGAAAGCCTTACTGAGTGGAATCGATGTAGAGGAAGCAGTAGCCTTTAATAAAGAAATTATCGATAGCTACTATGACACTATTGGCTTTTTGTGTGTCAAGAGGATTTTCCCAGCTATAGAAACTTTGAAAGACAGTGATCCTAAATCAGTAGAGACTTTGAAGAAAAAGAGTGTACAATCTTTGATGCTTCCTGTCAGCGAATATCTGAAGAAGAATAATCCAAAACTTTCTAATTCTCTTTACAATACGATTCCAGAGAAATTTACAGGAATCTTAGAGCTGTTCTCTTCTCAAGGATTAGCTGAAGAGGTTCTTGATGATTTATTCAATGACATCCATGAAACTCTAGTAATTGGGTTGGAGAAGTCTCCTCAAAATACCATCAAACTTCTGAGTATCTTGCTATCACAGACATCCACCGAAAATGCCTACTATATCAGAATTCAGAAGATTGGCTCTGGGCTTGTTCAGAGTTTGTACAAAGGTCTTAGAGAAGGATTGGGCAAGATGAGTAAAGAAACTATAGACCAATTTGAGAAAGATATTGAAATATTCTCCTATATTTCACACAGCTTGTTAACTAAAGGATTAGAGTCTTCCATATTTGAACTCTACTCTGACGAAATTATTAACGGAAATGCCATGCCTCATGAGTACACGCTCTTGGTGAACATTTTTGAAATTGTCAAGATCCTACAGAAGAAATTAAAGAAGGAATTCCTCCAAACTTTGGAAATAGTTCAAGAGAAAATGTGGCTCTGCCTCATCTTGAGAACAAATTATCTTTATAAGAGAGGCACTACCGAAGTAGAAGCATTTATGAATGGACCAATGCTTGATTTAATTTCAACAAGCTTGAAGAATTACGGTATAAGTGATGATAGGTACCTCAGGTTTGTAATCCAATACATTGCTCCTGCTGACTGCCTGTCTTTACTTATTTCAGAGAATATTGAGAAGAAAGTAGATTTGAAGAGGTTCAAAAAGAATATTCTCTCTCATAAAGATACAAAGCTAAAAGAACTGTTTATTCCTTACGAGACATTTATGCAGAAATCAGAGAAGATCCAAGAGAAGTTTTTGAGTATCCTCTACATCGACATGATTGATGACTACTCCAAGTCACATCAGATCATGACTATTTACTCTATTTTTAAGAGAAAACTAGATGAATATGTAAGCTTTAAACAAGATGGCCAGAGCTACTCAATTTTTACTGAAGCAACTGTAAAGACCATCCTTGAGTCAACCTTGGAGTTCCTTGAGGAGACAGAGCAAGTCCACAAGTCATTCCAACTTTCAGAAATTGGTAATGTTCTTGCAAAATTCATCCTGTCCATCAAGCGTGATGACAACCTATTTGAGCTCTCTAAGAAGATCTGTGAAAGTTTCTTCACTATTTTATTAGATATTAAGCAAAACTTGTCATCTGCTGTGGACCAATGGAAGTTCATCAACTCAATTCTGATGAATGAAGAGCTTAACTTTGAAGGGCAATTTTTGGAATATATCGAGAACGTTCTTAAGCAAAGGATCCACAACCTTGCTGGAATCAACTCTGAAGACAGGAAATACTCTATTGATCTGAAATCGGTTAATAATGAAATATTGGTCCTTAAGAACTTTATCAACACTGTACCAAAGGAGAAGATCAATTTGTTAGATTCACTGTCAAGAATTGTTTTACATCAGGAAAACTTTAGCCTGCTTGCTAAAGACTGACTCATTCTGAAAATTTTCCAGCAGACTTTCCTGATTGGAGGAATTGGCTTCAACATTGATGATCTGGCTCTAAAGAAAGAGGAAGGAAGTGAAGATTTCAAATATATTTGGCTCTTATGTGAATTATTGACTTCAAGCTATCTCCCTTCTCTTGCTGGATACACTAATCTAAGGTACCAGATACAAACATTCTGTGAAGCTGAGGTGTACCCTTTGATTCTTAGGGAATGTTGCTCAGAGTCTAACAACACACTCTTCTTTTCTATGATGAAGTACTTGACACAAAAATCTATTGAGAAATCATCTATATATGCAAAGACTCTTGGAAATATCATTCAAATGATCATTAAGCCTCCTGAAGGGCTTTATGAACTCGTTGCTGACTTCACAAGATGGAAGGATCTCCTAGATGTGACTATTGGCCAGCATCTTGACAGTGTTCTTCAAGCTGATGATTCTAATATCCCAGAAATTCGGAGAAAAATTGAAATGATCAAGATTGTCAGTGATAGCGTCAAGCATCTCCTCTACAGTCTTGAGTCTTACCAAGATATCAGAGAGAAAATTATTGCTGAACTTGATGTAAATAAAGAGAGCAATATCATACTTTACTCCACAATGATTGATGATCAAAGATGGGATAGCTCAGCCCTTCAGTTCTTGGATAATGAAGATATAGATGAAACTCCAACATTCAAGGATGTAAGGTGCCTCCAATCCATTTTGAATCATATTTCAGGGCTGCTAGATGAAAAGATAGATAACTTAGCCTCTCTTGATTCTATACTTGAAAGTCTAAACTGTGCTTTAACAAAAATGGGCATTGGGAATATCCTTGATAGCTTTGCTATCAACTTTGAGAACATAAAGTTTTTCCTTAAGAATGCTCTAGACTATTTGATTGTTGAGGAAATCACATTGGAGGAATCAAGCGAGATTGATACCTACACTCCAGTTGTGCTTAACACAATAGGTATCAACCTACTCCAGTTTGTTAAAATGATCATTGGGCAACTTCACTCTAATGATTCTGAAGGGACTAATGTCATTATTGATGGAGTTTTTGAATATTCAAAACTAAAAGCAGAGGCTTTTACCCAAAAGACCAATCTTCTCAAAGTAAAGTTGCAGGAAGCTCAGAAGTTCTCTCACAAGACCCAAAAATCTCTTATCAAAGAGGCAGAAGAAGAGTCAGATGGTTCAAAGATTATCCAAGAGCAAGAGTATGAACTAATAGACTGCATTGCTGAAGTGATAAACAACATAATTCCATACATTCATACAGCTATCGACGAAGATGTTCTCTATACTCTGATCGGCACTCACATTGAGAGTATCCAAAAAGCTGCTTATCTCACCTTAAAGTACTTCTATGAGAGCTTTATCCCACCTCTAAAGTACAAGTATGAAGAGGAAGGAGAGATCGACGAGGAGGAATTCAAGCACCAAATAGAACAAGAGCTTGCCCAAAATGAAGAAAGCAAGGAAGATGAAGAAGAGACCAAAGATGACCACGACCAAGTAATTTTCATTAGTAAATCAATATAGGTTGAACATTTAAAGCAGAGAAGAATCAAAGGCGAGCCTGATAAGAATATATCGATCATGCTTCTAGATATTATAGAGAGGCCTCCTGAGATTAAGGATGAGGCACATCAACATCAAGATGAAGAGGAGTTGGAAGAAAGTGAGGAAGAGATCTTACATGAAGGATACATGAATATTCAGAGCTCAAGTACTTTGCTCGATGACAAATTAATGAGCAATGAAGTTTATAGTTACTTCCTTGCTTGGAATGCAATGCTTAATAAGATTTCCAACGCTAAAATGAAGCTTAAATTTGAACAAGATCATGATTATCTCAGAACCATCAATTCTTTACAAGAATTTCTGACTATGAATCAGCATGTATACGAAATGCTGCTGATTTTAATAATCGCTTACCTCCCAAGTAGCATTAAAAACAAATGGAATCCTTCAAATATCATTGATTGTAAGCCTGAATGGACTGATTTGAACGAGCAGAAATTAATAGAGGAATTCGGACTATTTACAATGTACAACTTCATGGCAAATTTCCCATCTCTGGCTAGAGATTACTACCAAGACTGTGATAGAAGGATCTTTACTCTTGTCCATCCAATTATCAGCAAGCTGATTTCTCCAGCAATTATGGAGAATGAGATTAGAAAGATAGAGACTTCTCAGGCTGATCTCAGTACACAGAATCTATCTTTCACTTTGTTCAAGTCCACGCAGGAAATCCTTGCAGATTATGTAAATGAGGAGGTTGAAGTTCAGCTGAAATTGAAGATTCCAAATGAATATCCTCTCAAGAGTATAGAAGTGAAATGTACCAAGCAACTCAAGATACCAGAAATGAAACTCAGGAGATGGATGTTGTCAATCAGCAAGATGATCTCCTCACAGAATGGAGACTTTATATCCGGAATTCTCCTCTGGAAATCTAACATCGAGAAAGAAATTGAAGGGGTCGAGGACTGCTTGATTTGCTACTCCACAGTTCATGTCATCGACAAGTCTCTTCCCAAACTTGCTTGTAAAAACTGTGAGAACAAGTTCCATGCTCATTGTATCAGGAAATGGTTCGCTGAGAGTCAAAAGAGCAAGTGCCCAATGTGCCAGAGCTTCTTCTGGTAAATCTTACTTACTCCCATTACATATTCAATCATATTTTGCTAGTTTGGGGTTTTGGGGTTTTGGGGTTTTGGGGTTTTGGGGTTTTGGGG